GTCCCATGTGCTTTTTGAGCTGGTATGCATGCCCTGGAGCTTAGAGCAAGTGAGTTTGTGTGTTGGTCCATTAAAAGTGCACGTCTCAGTCTCCCACAACCCTTTGTCTTTCTCGTGTACAATCTTGATCAGTTTTCACAGCCAAATGTTGTGAGGACTCTTCTTCCTGGCACTGGTGCTTTGGGCTGGGGACTTTGGTGTGGGAATGGGACCCTTGCTCTTCAGGGGAGACTTCTGCAGCTGAGCTATCCCTCCCTACTCTTAATCATCTCACCCTGGGTGTGGGACCTGCCCTTTCCATGCTTTACCCCTCCTACCAATCTCCATGTGGCTTCTTCTTAACATCCTTAGTTATAGGAAATCTGTTCAGCTGGTCTTCAGGTGCTTTTCAGTGATGGTTGTTGTATAATTTAGTTGTAATTTTGGTGTGATCATGGGAGGAACTGAGCATAGGGTTTCCTACTTAGCCATTCTGACTGGATGTCCCACAAGTGTGTTATTTTCATTCTTTCAAATTAGGGAAAAGTTCCCCAGAGAAAGAGAATAATATGAAAAATTAAAATTATCTCGTTTTAATGCCTGGGGCATATAATTTCATTTTATTCCCTTTGAAGTATTTTATTTTTTTGAGACCTGAACTATATTAACTCTGAATCGGGGGAAGGAGTATTAGCTGTTAAGATTTGTTCATGATTTCCCCCGTTAAATTTCTACTTCAGTTAGAAAAATAAAAACAAAAAGATGATGTGCGTATTGTTTAATTCTCCTTTCCGTGAAGCAGTATTTATAAACACTGGTTGGAAAGTTAGTAAAAGCAGAAGTACAAATTCGTGAGAAGTCTGGGCTGCATAGGAATTAATTTTGGTTTAGAAAATCGAAGTGCCGTGCTGCCCCAACTTATTTTTTCTTTACCTCTGCTTTTGAAGTGGGTATATGACCCTCACCTGTAGATAACCTTTAAAAATATTTTAAAGTCTTTAATATGATGATGGTTCTACAAATCCCTGTGAATGCAATGTCACAAAGCCTCCCACAATAATGAGCGCATGTAAACCCTGGTGAAGTAGTCTAGTTAATTTATTATAATAATGTCAGTTTCCAGCCTTTAATAATGCACTATATTCATGAAAGATGTAAACTTTGGGGAAAGCTGGGTCATGAGTACCCTGGATCTCTCTGCTATTTTTGCAGTTTTTTATGAATCTATAAAAGGTCCAAAATAAAACAACAATAATTTTAAAAAATCCATCCATTAGGGCCAACTTGAACAGCAGTGTTATATTTGTGGTATGGATTCCTCAGCCATTAATATAATGAGGTAGATTTGTGTGAACTAATGTGGGGGGAGCAAGGCTCTTGCTAGATTCTTGAGTAAAAAGGCAATTTGCAGCCCGGCTGGGCATGGCTCAGCAGTTGAGCATTGGCCTAGGATCCAGGAGATTGCGATTCAATTCCCGGCCAAGGCACATGCTGGGTTGTGGGCTCGATCCCCAGTCAGGGGCGTGCAGGAGGCAGCCGATCAATGACTCTCTCATCCTTGATGTTTCTATCTCTCTCTCTCCCTCTTCCTTCCTCTCTCTGAAATCAATAAAGATATATTTTTTAAAAAGGCAAGTTGCAGCCCAGTATGTATAAGACTACCCATATTGGTAATGCAACAGCAATGTAAAACCTCACACTTTTTCAACAAAAGCTGTATATTTACGGGGCGCAGACAAAGGTTTAGAAAGATAAACACAGTGTTGATACTGGGGACTGTTAGGAAATGGGAGTTGGGAGGGAGGGTATTCACTTTGTACTTGATGCGTGATAATATTGTTTGAACTTTTGACCATAAACATATCTTATTTTTATAATTTTTATAAATGAAATACATAAATAAAGGAACCGTTGGGGCCTAATGAAGCTCCTGGCTCTGCTCTGCTTGTGCAGACTAGTGTGCTGATTTGCAAGTTTTTCAGTGGTTTCACTCAGCCAACAGGCTTGTTTTGATCTCAGTCTGGTTTGAACTGTTGTTCCTCTTGTTCTTGCCAAAGATAATCAATCCTGTTACTTCTCAGAAAAAAAAATTAATAACCTTTAACAGACCTGCCTGCGAGCCATAACAATTGGCCCTCTGGACACTTGTAAATTTTCCTAAATGACAACAGAGCCATTGTTTTTTTAAAGTCACATATTGGATGTATTTTTAATGTGTTCATCTCTTGTAAAAAGAGAACTTTGTAAGCATTTGTTTTGTCTTAATGGCCAGAATATTTTGTCTATATGTTGGCATTTGCCCTAGTTCACCTTTGCAGAAGTAGTAGGCCAAGATGATTAATTTATTTATGCATGTCTTGTGTGTTTGTGTGTGCACATGCACATATGCACGCATGTGTATGAGAGAATAAGCCACATGAGGTCATGGACTTATGTCTGATTTCCTCCTCACTGCACCATCCCCAGTGCCTAGAGTAGTGGCTGATACCTTGAAGTTGCTCAATGAGTTATTGATTATTTGTGTGTGTCGGGGAGTATCAATGTGATAATTATTATACACACTATCTCTTTCTCAGCCTTTCACAGAAACCACTTGATATTAATCTTCAAGAATGACTTTTCAAATATAAATGCTTTATAAGTGGGCTAGGGAAGCCATTTGTGACATTAGCAGTTTTATTATCAGCTGAATGGCTTCAGGCTGCAAGGAACAAACACCTAACTTGCCCTACAAAAATAATTCAATGTGTTCTCTAGAATAACAAGTGCAGGCTCTGGGCCAGCCAGGTTCTGTCCATCTCTTTGCTCTGCTGCCTCCAGATAGCAAAGTGGCTGCAACCATTCCAGGCATCATGTCTAGACACGGCTGCATCCAGAGGCAGAAAAATGGGAGTCTCCAATTCCTTGGATTTCGGTTTGAGAACAAGGAAATCTCTCCTCAAAGCCCTGTCTCAGCAGCTAAAAATGGGTCATGTGACCCTGTCTGAACCTAACACTGGTGGGGGAATGAGACCACCGTGATTGGTTTGATCTGTATTTGTTTACCTAGTCTGTTCAGACTGTAGTAACAAAATACCACAAGCTGAGTGGTATTTTAAACAACACACATTCATTTTTCACAGTTCTGGAGGCTGGGAAATACAAGATCAAGATGCTATCAGTGTCTGATGAGGGTCCACATCCTGGTTCATAGATGACTTTCTTTTTGCTGTGCCCCACGTGGCAGAAGGGACAAAGAAACTTTCTTGGGCCACTTCTGTAAGGGTACTAATTCTACTCATGAGGGCTCCACCTTCATGACCTAATCACCTCTCAAAGTCTCCACCTCCTAATACCATCACCTTGGGGTTTAGGTGGTCATTTAGACCACAGCAGGCTGCCATAACCAGTTGGGCAGCTTAAACAACATAAACTTATTTTCTCACAGGTCTGGAGGCTAAAAGTCCAACATCAAGGTGCCAGCAGGGTTGGTTTCTGGTGAGGCTTTTCTCCTTGGCCTGCAGACCTCCTGTCTTCTCACGGTGTCCTCACATCGTCTTTTCTGTGTATGAGTGCCTTCCTGGTCTCTTCCTCTTTTTATAAGGATACCAGTCCCATTGGATTAGGGCCCCACTCTTACAGCCTTCTAATATTAATTCCTTCCTTAAAAGCCCAATCTCTAAACAGTCACATTTGGGGTTAGGGCTCTAACATATAAATGGGAGGGGGTGTGGCATAACTTAGTCCATAATAGGTCACAGCTGGTTTTTGTTGGGCAGGGACAGAAATATGAATAAAATCAGGGTTTTGGGGGAGTGGTACCAACAGTACCCCCAAAGTCAGCTATCAGCTTAATTATTCAGGCAACATAGAGGGGCACCGCTGGAAAGGGTGGTACTGCGCTGAAGAAGACTTGTTGTATTTTTTGGACTTTGGCACCGGACTTAAATGCAAGTCTGATTTCCATCACCTACTAGGAAGTGGCTCAACCTATTTGAGCTTTGGCTTCCTTTGCTGTAAAGTTGGGGATGGTTTACATGGGCCTCACAAGGCTATTAGGAAGAGTAAATGAGAAAGGTATGTGAAGTGCTGAGCCCAGCTCCTGTGCATTGTGAGTGCCCCTTGTCAATACTGCATTTTTGTCCTTGGGGTGACTTGTCTGTGCCAGTCAAAACCTTCCCAAACCACTACCCCAAAGAATACTTCTTCCATTGATTTTTTAAAAACGGGAGCTCTTTCAAAGATATGTAATTGTTTTAAGATAGCTCTAAAGCCATTAACAGTACTCCAATGAGTAAAACATTAGCTTTCTTTTGGGGCAAAAAGTATGCTTCAGAATTTGTGGAGAGGAAATGTGGTGAAGAGCATGGCCTTTGATGATAGATGGCCAAGGTCACATCCAGCCTGCATAGCTAGCTGTGTCACCTTGGTCAAAGCACGTCACTCTTCTGTCACTCAGTTTCTCATCTGCAAAGTGGGAGGAGAGAGAGCTTGCCTCATGGGTGGTCATGAGTGGTGAGAGCACAAGTGCAGAGTGCTCCTCACTGTGACAAGTGGGCACCAAGCACTGGCCCTGTGTTACTTGTTTTACTGAGAATTCCACTGGCACCTCATGCAATGGGGAGGAAAGTGGGGAGTCATAGGAGAGATGGGGAGTAATTTCCATTCTTATCAGTACCTCTGTCATCATCCTGCAGTAACCCTGCAGGTAGGATGGTACCACCTGTATCACCTGCCTACAGAAGCTCAGGCTTAGTGAAGTCACGCAACTGACCCAAGGTCTCACTGTTGGTACTTGGTGAGACTGTATTTGAACCCAGGTGTGCAGGATGCCAGGGCCCCAGTTCTTAGCCATTATATGAAATGCCACAAGAGTGCACTGTTTTCTCCCCCACCCTCCCCATCCCTGCCAGGCAGTGAGGATTATGGAAATGATCATGAGGCTACATTTATTTTAGAGTATTACTTTGGAAATTATTTGGTGAGAAGTGTTGCTTTAGGTTCTCCAACCTGATGATTTTTTTTTTTTTTAAACTTATTAGATTCTGCTAACTGAGATGATGGAGCGATGCAAGAAACTAGGAAACAAGTAAGTATTTTAAAATTAATAAGGCATGAGTTGGAAGTGGAGTTGGTTGCTTTTTTCAGCTTGGCATGCTTATGTGGGCAAGAGGACCAGCAGAGGGGCAGGACAGCATGGAGGTCAGGAAGCTAGAATCTAGTTGTCTGGCTTCAGATGCCTGACTGTACTCTCTCTCAGCTTTGTGACCTTGGGTTACTTAATTGACCTCTCTGTGACCCAGTCTCTTTATCTATAAAATGGGTTTAATAATAGTCCTTTCCTCATGGGGCTGTGATAAGTGGTAGGATTAGGATGAACTCATCTTCTTATCTCTCCTCTTGGTGGTATATGTCTAAGTCACTGTGTCCCTACGTCCCAGAACAGTGATTTCATAAGAGATGTGAATGGATATATATTTTCAGCTTGGATCAATATTGTTACTTAATGTTTAGCTTTACTAGTGCACCAGCCTATTGAATGCTCAGTTTACTTCTGTGTAAATGGATTTTATCACTTATTTACCTGTCCCTCCAGCCACCCACCTATCCACTCATCCACCCACCCATCCATCCATCCAGTCAATTTAACATTCAAGTTCCCAATATGCATATGACACTGTATTAACCTCTAGAGGTTGCCTTTTTACTCAAGTTTTTTTTTTTTTTTTCCGAACCTTAAAAAAAGGGCTGTCAGTCATCCTTCCAGGCAACTTATGTCCTAAAATTAAAGCGACTTTCCTAAAGGGGAGCTCTGCTGATGTGCAGCATATGTGTCTTGCAGTGCCTTGCTGTTGAATTCTGTGATGTCCGCTTTCCGGGCCGAGTTCATCGCCACCAGGTCCATAGATTTCATTGGCATGATTAAAGAGTGCAACGAGGCCGGCTTCCCCAAGGTAGGCTTTTCACTTCATGCTCAGTGCAAGGACAGGTGGGTAGTACTGACTCAATACCTCTTGAGGGAGAAACTTGGTGTCAGGGCAGCTTAGGCCAACAGGGAAGCAAGAGTAGGCTCTGTGTCTGAAGAACATGATGGAAGATGAGCCTCAGATTGGGATCGTTAGACACATGTAATTGCTGAGCGGCAGGTTTCCTCCGTGGGTCCTAAATAGGTAGAATCAGCTCACTGTGAAGTATTTAGAAAATACTTTGGTTTTACATCTCTAAAAATATGTCTTTACTCATTATTTATGAACCGCTCTGTCCAGCAGGACATTATGGCCCACGATAAGACCAATACAAGAGCCAGCTCTTTATTTTCCCTTCTTCATCTACCTTGTGGAAGTCTGTAGTGGAATTTCAGAAAGAGGTCATTGGAAGATTAGCCCTGAGGCGAGCTCAGTGTGACAGCCTTAAGCCTGCAATTGTTCTGATTTAAAATCTCCAGTATCTTAACGATTTTGTATTTTTCTTAGCATCTTCTTTTTCGCTCACTGGGGTTAAACTTGGCCTTGGCTGATCCTCCTGAGGGAGATCGACTTCAAATTCTCAATGAAGCTTGGAAAGTTATTACTAAATTGAAGAATCCACAGGTGGGTGATCAATCATTCTGACCTTAGATTGACTGCTTTTTGTCCAAGTTATGCAGTAAACTCTTTCTTTTAAAAAAAATTATCTTTTAGGTAATCATACTTCATTTGTTTAAGAAAGTGACTTCTTTTAATTATATTGTTAACCTGTAGTGGAGGACTTATAGCTTTAAAGATGTATTTCTCTGATTTTTGTACCCCAATTATGTGTCGTTTTTGAGGCCTCAGGATGCACTAAAAGAGCAAAATTATAAATACTTGAAACTTTTAAAGCTCTGTGACTTTGCAAACAGCATCCAAAATGCAGCAGTCTGTAGTTTGGATTTGAATATACCAACTTAGTGGGATATTGTTAAATTGAAGATCAGTGGTCAAGCCAGTAATTAGCAAAAGGAAATTCTGATTTCTCTCCCTTGGAGACAGCTGAAGCCTCTTTATCCCCATGCGTCAGGCACTGGAAGTCTTGAGAAGGCAGACCAATTGATTAGTGCTATAATCACTAGATGGCCGTCGTGTTGTAGGCTTGGGTTTCTTGCCTCACTGTTGTAGGCAACATGCCAGCAATTTATGTGGTTTCCAGTAGGGAAAGATGGTATTGGCTGTCTTTGTGGCTGCAGGACCAGCTGGACAGAACTTCATCATATCCTCCCCTGTAACTCTCCTGCTAATAGAGTATCTTAGTCTATTCAGGCTGCTGTAACAGAACATGATATACCTGGGTGGCTTATAAGCAACAGAAACTTATTTGTCAGGTAATGGAGCGTGGAATTCTGAGATAAGGGTGCCAGCATGGTTGGATTCTGGTGAGGGCCCTCTTCTGGATTGCAGACTGCCACCTCCTCCCCATCATATGGCAGAAAGGGAGTCAGGGAGCTCTCTGGGGTCCTCAGGGCACTAACCATATTCTTGAGGACTCCACCCTCATGACCTAATCACCTCCCAAAGGCTCTGCCTCCTAATACTATGACAGGGGTTAGGATTTCAGCATATACATTTTTTGGGGCCACAAACATTCAGTCCATAACACAGCAGATAACTGAATATAGATACGTAGTATTTGATACAATTACTTATCACAAGGGAAATATTAAAATAAGCTCAGTTATAAATCTCTTGCTAATCACCACATTTACAATAGTATATTGAGAATAGTGGTATAATTTAGAAAAATTAGAAACAATTACAAAATCATATATCTAGATTAGGTTTAGCAAAATCCTCACTAAACTCCAGCTGTTGGAGTTTAGAGTTATTTACCCTAACTCCGATGGACTAACTAAAACAGTTTATTTAAGCTATTTAAATAAAAAAACCTTTGGATTTATGGTGCCTGTATTTCAGTGCTTCAAAGCAACCTTGCATCAAAAGCCCATATTAACAATATTCTCCAGTCTTTAACTTCACACTCACCTCATTAAGTTTGCTTTCTTAGCATTCCAATTAGACCTTAGGATGTTACTGGCTTTCCTGTGTGAATGAGATAACTGTTTTCTTTTCTCCCCTTTCATCTTTCTTTTCCTTAGTGTCAGAACAGAAGAGTTATATGTGTAGACTGTCTTTTCTCCTTGGCCATTTTTTTCTCATTTGAGTGTTTCACAAGGAGGCAGGATTACTAAGTTGGTTATTGATATTTCCATAGCCATTTCATTGTTTCTCTGTGGGTACCCCTCCTACTTGAATCTAACACATAATTTCTTGCCTGGCACCTTTATGCTTGCTTTATTTTTTAAAAAATTTATTGTTGACAGTACTACAGATGTCCCCCATTTTCCCCTCCTTTGCCTTGCTCCACCCAGCCCCTGCCCCACCCTAGGCCTTCCTCAAACTGTTGTCTGTGTCCACCGGTTATGCATATGTGTTTTTTGGTTAATCTCTTTCTGTCCCATCCACCCTCCCCTCTGAGATCTGTCATTCTGTTCCAGTCTCTGGACCTGTTTTGTTCATCAGTTTATTATGTTCATTAGATTCCACATATAAGTGAGATCATGTGATATTTGTCTTTCTCTAACTGGCTTATTTCGCTTAGTATAATAATCTCCAGGTCCATCCATACTATCTCAAAGGCTAAGAGCTTGTTTTTTATAGCTGCATAGTATTCCATTATGTAAATGTACCACAGTTTTTTGTCCACTCGTCTAGTGATGGGCACATAGGCTGTTTCCAGATCTTAGCTATTGTAAATAATGCTGCTATGAACATAGGGGTGCATATATTCTTTCTGATTCGTGTTTCAGGTTTCTTAGGGTATATCCCCAGAAGTGAGATTGCTGGTTCAAACAGCAGTTCCATTTTTAGGGAGAGAGAGAGAGAGAAACATTGATGTGAGAGCACAACATCAATCGGCTGCCTGCTGCACACCCCCTTTTGGGGACTGGCTCACAACTCGGGCATGTGCCCTTAACTGGGAATTGAACTGGCAATGTCCTGGTGCATGGGATGACACCCAACCAACTGAGCCACACCTGCCAGGGCTATAGCCTTTGTTTTGAAGTCTAGTTGGTCAGATATGAGTATTGCTACCCCAACCTTTTGTTTTGTTTCCATTTGCATGGAATATTTTTTTCCATTTCTTCACTTTCAGTCTGTGTGAATCTTTTGTTCTGAAGTGGGTCTCTTGCAGACAGCATATATATGGGTCATGTTTTCTTATCCATGCAGCTACCCTATGTCTTTTGATTGGAGCATTTAAGCCATTTACTTTTAAGGTTATTATTGATAGGTATTTATGTACTGAAATTTTTTTCTGTATACCTATTC